CCTCTACTAAGCAAACTATGATACTTCTTAAAGACTTTTTTTTTAGCCAGGATATTAGCACACAATCTTGAAAGTCGGTATATGTGTTTAGATCCAAAATGTTTTGTAAGTTTAAAAGTAAAACTTGTGTTTAAGAACATCTTTAAAAACTTATTTTGTTCTTTTTTTTTTTTAAGATTTTATTTATTTATTTGAGAGAGAGTGACAGCATGAGCAGGGTGGAGGGGCAGAGGGAGAGGGAGAAGCAGACTCCCCGCTGAGCAGGGAGCCCGATGCGGGGCTCGATCCCAGGACCCTGGGATCATGACCCAAGTGGAAGGCAGACGCTTAACGGACTGAGCCACCCAGGCACCCCAAAACTTATTTTGTTCTAAAAAAAAACACATTTTCCAAAGTAAGGTTGATATTCTTTACTTTGTCAACTTTGCTGCTTCCTGGCTGTTCCAAGGGTATTTTGAAAGGAAGAGTCCTCACTCAGTAGGAAATATATACGTAATCCTTCTAACTGATGTTGAATCTGAAATATCAACTACAATTATAATACCTGACCAACAGAAGAATAATAATCCCACCTTGTCTGTATCAGGCCTTTTAAAAGCAATGAGATCAAGTGTGTATTTTGCCTGCTTACTGGGAAAACTGGTGTGGCTTACACTTGTTTACAGTGCATTTTACTATCATGACTGTGGATTATAACAGCGCCCAAAAGTACACGAACCAAACATTTAAAACAAAATTGGCATGGGGGACGAACCACTACACATGAACTGCACAATGATTAAAAAGTGTACAGTTCCAGCATATTCACAATTGTTAATGCAATCACATTCCAAGTACTTCCATTCTTGGCAGAGCTTGCAAACATTAATGCCAGAAAACATTATTCTTTTTCAAAACATCAACTCCTTTTTCAAGATTCTGATAGTGTTGAGTCGTAAAATCTCTTGGCACAGGTTTTAATAATTAATTGGTTAATGAAAAAAATCGAGCTGGATACACTAAAACGATTCGGCTATTTCAGCCACACTTGTAATGGTCAGAGCCATCATATATGGGAATTTCAAAGCGGTATTCCACAACATACGGTCCCCACTGCCGCCCTTCAGCGGGCACTTTCGGCCACCCCCGGCAGCCCAGCCAAGTGCCGTGGCTCCCTGGGACCCTGCACTAACACGAGGGCTCTCCCTCTGGAGGCCTCCCACTCTCCCGGGGAACTGGGCAACAGCCCCACAGGAACGCCCACCCTGAGCTGGGTGGGGCGCAGGATGACAAAGCGCTCCTTCCTCCTCCTTTGCAGATGCCTGTGCTCCTTGGGGAGGTTCAAACTGACCACCGGACTATTTTAACTAAGTTAAAATATTGGTCTAGTTCGTGTTTTGGGTCCAAGGAAATCTATTTGTTCTGTATTAACACTTTTTTTTCCAGATTTTTTTTTTTATTTCTTTATTTTTGTGGGGGGGGGAGAGAGAGAGAGAGAGCACAAGCGAGGGGTAAGGGCAGAGGGAGAAGCAGACTCCCTGCTGAGCGGGGAGCTGGATGTGGGGCTGGATCCCAGGACCCTGGGATCATGACCCCGGCGGAAGGCAGATGCTTAACTGACTGAGCCACCCAGGCGTCCCTGTATTAACAACATATTAACTTATGTCTGTGAAAGAAAAAATAGAAAGTAGAGAGAAGATATAACAATACCAGTAGTTAAAACTTCTAAAGTCTCACTTCAAGATTCTGCTGAAGTTATGTTGTCTTATTTTATTGGAAGGTTTTTTCCTTATTGTTATAACATTAGCATATATTCATATTTTACCTAACACTATATCATAAGCAGCTTCCCATATTAATAGTCTTTTAAACAAACATGTGTTTAATATGCCAAGTAATTGTAACATGTTTTAGTTAACTGGTTCCACGTCACTGAACTTGTTGATTCACTTTATTAAAAAATCATTTATTCACTGAGTAGATCTACTACATTCAAATCACTGGATTGAATATTATAAGCACATGCATACGAAGAGTGGCTCCTCCCAGAATGCGCTTCAAAACTACAAAAGACACAAACATGTATATGCAACATACACAGCATACGCATGTATACACTTTCTCTAGCTCACCCTAAGCATTTAATTTTTTAAAAATATTCTTACAGGACTAAAATATCCTAATTTTCTTTCCAGATATTTCCTTTATGGCTAATTTCCCTTACCCCTGTCTGCTGGGTTTGTCTTAGCGTGACTGATCAGGAAATCTTTTTTTTTTTTTTTTTAAGATTATTTATTTATTTATTTATTTATTTGAGAGAGAGAGAATGAGAGAGAGAGCACATGAGAGGGGGGAGGGCCAGAGGGAGAAGCAGACTCCCCGCCGAGCAGGGAGCCTGATGCGGGACTCGCTCCAGGGACTCCAGGATCATGACCTGAGCCGAAGGCAGTCGCTTAACCAACTGAGCCACCCAGGCGCCCAAGAAATCTTTAACGTAGCCACAAAAGAAACATTCTGAGCATCACTGAATATTTCATCTTAAGAACATCCCTAGCCAAAAATATTAGCTCTACCTGCTAATTTTAGACAAAATTGCTGTATGATATAATATTGGGCTAAGAATGTGTTGTGGTTTTCTTTGAGTTGTGGGACTGGGACAGAGGAGCAGACATCTGGAATCAGAGGTATTTGAACCACAAAGACATGGACACAAATCCTCCTTTCACCCCTCAACTAGCTGTGTGATCTTTGGCATGTTACTCAAAAACAAAAACAAAAAAAAAACCCAACTCACTGTGCTTTAGTTTCCCTATTTGTAGAAAGGAGTTAATAACATTTACCTCCAAGGTGGATATAAGGATTCCAGAAAATCTACGTAAGGGTCAAGCATGTGCCTGGCATTATAACAGACCCTGAATATGTTTATTTCTACAATGAGCACAAATTCTGGTTTTTAAAAGATAAACCTAACTGGTATATAGAAAAAATATAAAGAGAAAAATAATTTAGTTGGCTTTACTGCTACAGGTGAATTGCAATCCATTACTCATTTGATGGGTCTAAGCCTTGAAAATTCGAGAAATCTAGAAATGGTGGAGATCGGTGCCCTGAAGCTGACCACAATCACCTCAGAACCTAGCTCCTAATATGTCGTTAACCCTATGTGTTTCCTCTTTCCCGGATATTCATGAATATACATCGGAGCTGATGAAGTAAACTCACGGTGTGGGAAAGCAACATCCATTCTCCAATCCTGCTTTGCGCTGATCCGCTCCCCTTTCTAGTTCTTCTCACCTCACCTCTGATTTGAGAGAGGTGGCAAGCAACAGAGAGGGCTACTCTCTACTGCTCTGTCAGCAGATGGAAGTAACTGCTCCTCTTCCAGGAAAGTAGACGGTCCCCAGGAGACACCAGTGTGGGAAAGCCATGGCTGGCCCCGCAGCGTTTGCCTCACATCTTACAGGAGGGCTCTGAACTCAATCCTCCCCTCTGAATGTGAATGACATTTCCTGGCTGATGAGGGATTCCCTGAAGAGTGCTTCTACAAATTAATACACACGTGATCACCAGTAAGCATTCCCAGGGGCTTTCAGCATCCCTTGAATTCTCATTTTTCCCATTTGTTTGTTTTTTTATAAAGATTTTATTTATTTATTTGAGAAAGAGAGAGCATGAGTGGGAGGAGGGGCAGAGGGAGAGGGAGAAGCAGGCTCCCCGCTGAGCACAGAGGCCCACTCGGGGCTGATCCCAGGACCCCTGAGATCATGACCTGAGCAGAAGTGAGATGCTTAACCAACTGAGCCACCCAGGTGCCCCTCATCTTTCCCATCTGAATCAAACTGCAGTAAAAAGTTGCAACCAATTATATGAAATCAACTATCTTTATTCTGTCAGAGTAATTCAGCAATCATTAAAATAGACATAATATTCCCAGGGATAAAAAAAATCCTAGGTTTTTTTTTCCATGCAGGCTAGATAAGCATAGACCTCTGAATGGTCTCCAGGCTAGTCGGGGCCTCCACGCTGGGAGGAGGCAGCAGGAGAGAGGAAACACATCTGCATGCAAAGGTAAAGACAACATTGAAAGTTGTGTGTGTTTGAGAAATTGCCTGCAGAGAGCTAGTAGGTAGACAAAACCTGTATCGTTTTGGGAGCCGTATGCATAGAGAATTTCCGTAAACCTCTAACCTCAGAAGAACCTGTATATAAGATTTCGTCTTTGTTTTTGAATTGTCTAAACCTAAGCTGTTTCCTTGGACTTGGGATCACAGGGTCACTGTTCTGGTGATTTCAGACTCCAGTGTGCTAACTGCACACCCCAAAGCACAAAAAAAGCTTGATTTCAAAAGATTATTTTGGAAATTGTCCTCTGCATCTGCTGTTCCCTTACCCAGAAAACTCTGACCTCAGACACATGTACACAGTCCATTCCCTCGAGTCATTCGGGTCTCTGCTCAATGTTCCCGTATTGGAGAAGTTTTCCTGACCATCCCATTTGTAGTAGAAACCGACTCAAAAACAGGCTCTGTACAACCTTAGGCTGCCTTGTTTTTGTTATTCTCGCTCTTCTTTCTCACTACCCCTCATATGATAGATGCATTTGATTTTCCATCTCCCCTCCCCACCAAAGCAAGCTCCATGAAGGAGGAACTTTGTTTTTTCACGCTGTATCCCACAGAGTTCCTGAACACATGATCGCTGTTCAATAAATATCTGTCACATGAATGAATGACTTGTAGATGTTCTAGCCAAGTGCCATACATCTCCAATTCTCTTCCCAGCAAGATACACACTCAAACAAAGCTCCTGAGACACACACAAGGCTAATGCTAAATCTCCTTAGATGTCTTTGTTGCAGCTTAGGAAGCAAGTGTATCCACGTGAGCTACCCTAGGAGCTTACAAAAAGCAAGCTTCTCTTCTAATCTTCCCAGGCTATAATACTCACCAACACACCACTTGCCCTCCCTCCCAAGCTCCAAATTACTTCATGCTCACAGAAACCTAGACCTCTTTTCTTACCATACTGATCGGAATTGCTGGTGAAGAGAAGGTAGTCAGAAGCACAGGTCTGGGATTCAATATCCAGATCGCCTAACCTCAGAATCAGCTTCTTCCCTTTTGGTACTCTGATGATCTTTTCACAAACCGTGTGATTGGGGTAAGTCCCTGGATAATTCTTAGATGTCATTGTGCCACTGTCCTGATAGGTCACTATGTGCCCACAGCCATCACCTGGTAAAGAAAAAGAGAATGAAAGAAGTGACATTAATTCTTACTGAGGATTGAGAGAGTCTAGTACAATCTCCAAGTCATGTATGTTATTCCTTCTTTGTAGAGGGAAAAGCTAAGAAGAGGAAGAAGGAGGAGGAGAAGGAGGAGAAGGACAAAGAGGAAGAGGAAGAAGAAGAAGAAGATTAAATTTTATATTATTTCAGGTTATTTCATCTTGTTTCCCAGTTTAATCTTCTGAATATTTTGGACCAAAGTGTTTCATATATTAGAGTGGAAAGCCCTCAGCAAATACTTCATTTAATCATACCACTTTTGCTAATCATCTATTTATCTACCCATGGAAACTTGCACAGTAGGCCCTTGGCAGTCACAGATTTGCTGTTTGTGGTTTCATCTATTAGCAAGCCGATGCCATGCAATAATTTGTGGTGGAGAAAATAATCATACTTACTTCCAAGAGGGTCATTGTATTGTTAAACAGGAGAGCGTGCGGCTGGTGGAGTCTGAGACGTGGGCTGAGAGGAGAGTGACAGCCTGTCATAGCTGGAGGTTTCCAGCGGTTCGACATTCATGTCGCAGTTAATGACAGTCACTGACTGGAAGGTTCCTGATAGACCCAGGATGTGTCATTAGAGAATGCTGAGGGTCTAGTGCACTGAGTGCTTGGCACATACCAGACCTGGTACTGCTGGAGACACAAAAAGGCAGCAATGGTGGCTTCACAGAACTCAGAGCAAAATGGGAGAGAGTCACATGTTCATCTAACTCTAATACTGGGTGCCATGTGCCATATCAGGAGCTTAAAGGGCTGAGGAAGGCAGGAGAGAATCTATTCCAGTGAATTATCACTACTTCACTAAAGTAAGAAATTTCCTTAAGACTTTTCCGAATAGGGAAGTTCATCAATTGACCAACACATTGCTCCGGTAGATTAAAGTGACTGAGTCACTCAAATATCTAATGGCATGCCAACTGGGTGGGTTGCAAGGTAAACGAGCATACACTGCATTCAAATCACAAAATTCCTGTGGCTGGTAAGGCTTCACATAAAAGCAAGAATTTCTGCCCTTAACTGGAGGGAAAGCAGAAATTTGTTGAAGAAGGAATTCTCTGAGTAATAAAACAAGGCCTCTGCATCCCAAAGTCTCCCACAGAGAAGCCCCAATTTGGGCATAGTGGGAATCTAAACCCCAAGGCTGCTTCCTTCCTCCTCCAGCCTCTTCCTGAGCTAGAGCAGGATTGGCCTGGGGCTTTCCTTTGTCCCACTCTTTTCTGACCCTTAGGCTTGCAGCCCAAATGATAGTAGTAAACAAACAAACTAAACAAAACAAAAAATTGGCAGGGGGCAGGGCAGAGAACTCCAGAAGCTACTCCATCTCATTCAGATAAGTCCAAGGAGAGGAATCCACCCATATTCCAGAAACTGTCACAAGATTCCCAGCAGCTCCAGCCAGACTGATGGATGGCGGATGAGAGTTAACTTTACCAAGAATACAGCAGAAATGTAGATGGACACTCAGATAAAATTACTGTGACACCTCCACATCTAGGGAGAAGCTGTGGAATTTATATGGAAGACTACAGAGACCCATAGAAGTTTTTGAGAAGGGAGATAATGAAAGAAGTATTTAAAAAAGGATGATCAACCTGGTTGGCCAATGCTATAGGATCTAGAATGTGGGGAGAATGCAAGTCAGAAGAGCAGTACAAGGGCTAGGAATGGGACAGCTAGAAAGGGAAGGGAAAGAAAATCAGAAATTCACAATAAAAAAAAATCAACAGCTCGGGAAACAACAGGTGTTGGTGAGGATGCGGAGAAAGGGAACCCCCTTACACTGTTGGTGGGAATGCAAGCTGGTGCAGCCACTCTGGAAAACCATATGGAGGTTCCTCAAAAAGTTAAAAATAGAGCTACCCTGGGGTGCCTGGGTGGCTCAGTCAGTTAAGCATCTGACTCTTCATTTCGGCTCAGGTCATGATCTTGGGGTCCTGGGATTGAGCCCCGAGTTGTGCTCCACAATAGGCATGGAGCCTTCTTGGGATTCTCTCTCTCCCTCTGCCCATCCCCCAACTTGCATTCTCTCTCTCTTTCTCTCTCTCTCAGATAAATAAGTAAATCTTAAAACAAAACAAACCAAAAAACCCCAGAACTACCCTACAACCCAGCAACTGCACTTCTAGGTACTTATCCAAAGGATACAAACATAGTGATTCAAAGGGGTACACGCACCCCAATGTTTATAGCAGCAATGTCCACAATAGCCAAACTATGGAAAGAGCCCAGATGTCTATTGAAGGACGAATGGATAAAGATGTATATACAATGGAATATTTCTTAGTTATCAAAAAGAATGAAATCTCGCCATTTTCAGTGACATGGATGGAACTAGAGGGTATTATGCTAAGCAAAATAAGTCAGTCAGAGAAAGACAAATACTATATAATTTCATTCATATGCGGAATTTAAGAAACAAAACAGATGAACATAGGGGAAGGGAAGGAAAAATAAAATGAGGTAAAATCAGAGAGAGATTCTTAACTCTAGGAAACAAACTGAGGGTTGCTGGAGGGGAGGTGGGTGGGAGGATGGGGTAATTGGGTAACTGGCTGATGAGCATTAAGGAGGGCACTTGATGTAATGAGCACTGGGTGTTAGATGCAACTGATAAATCACTAAATTGTACCCCTGAAACTAATGCTAATTAGTTAACTAATGTTAACTAACTTGAATTTAAATAAAATCTAAAAAAAACCAAAATCAACAGACTTGGGTTTTGGTTTAGTCCATGGGGAAGAGAAGAAACAAAAAACCCACTGAGATTCTGAGTCCAGAAATGACTGGAACACTAAGGCTAATATAGATAGAATGAGAAGCTCAGAAAGCAGCAGGTCTGGGGGCAAACGCTGTGAGTTTGGTTAAGGTTGAGGTGACAGCTGTACTTCGTGACATCTCTGGCAGTGAGTACAAAATTGTTGAAAATTAAATGAAAAATATACTAGAGTGAAGCATATGGTGCAGAAGGACATAGTGCACAGGGCTTTGATTTAAAATTTGGATTATTTGCCTGCTTATAAAGGCTTTCATTAAAAAATCCAATTTACAGTTTCTCTTGAAGACTGAAAGACATGGCAACGATACCAGCAGGCGTTCTCATCGGGCTAGTGAGACCGCGGCTGCCCCTTTAAAGGAGAAAAATGCCCTAGCTCCCCACCACATCCAAGCCGCTCATTTCTATGACGTGCCCCACCTTGGGAGGCAATGATTGTGAGCATGCTGACAGGGCAACGCTAGGGTAACCGGCATACAAACAATGATGCAAATAAATATACACATAACCCTCTCTAAGCCACCAAGATACCACCTGCTCAAACATTTAAACACCTCTTTTCTTATTACTATGAAATTCTCTGCTTTAATAAGAGAAGAAAAAGTGAACTCTTTCTGGAAAGCGCAGCTAAATATAAAATGAGGGGTAATTATATGTGAATCAACTCTCAGATGATCATTGTATTCTCGATTTTACTTAAGTGACATGTCATGACAAAGGAAAATCCCAGGGTATCATGTTCATTCAACCCTGTAATTGTACTTCTTTCCAATCACTTTTACTCTAAAGCCCAAGAGGAAACTAATTTCACCTGGCAATACCAGCAGACGGGGAGCGGGTCTGTCTTCAACACTCCCATCATTACTTTGCCTGGGGGATCTCTGCCTCCTTGGAAAAAGTTCTCTTTTCCATTAGTTATCAGAATGATACTCCAGGAGTCTTTGTTCTGCCAAAAAAAACCTGAAAGGAACTGCTGGGTCCTAATTTATTAAAAAGCAAGCTGTCATCAGAAGTTTGTAATTTCACCCCTGCCCACGGAAGGAGACTCTTCATGGAGTTTTCTGTGGCAAGTGCTAATAGAATACATTTATTCCATGGTATTAACTACATCAGGAATTTTCACCCTATTGTCCTTCCACAGTCTTGATGAATTCCAAAAACTAGATATAAAAATAATACTGTAATAGATACTTGAAAGTTGCTAAGAGTAACTTAAATGTTCTCACCACAAAAAAGAAATGGGGATTATGTGAGGTGATGGAGAGGTTAGCTAACATTACGGTGGTAATAATTTTGCAATATGTATCAGATCAACACCTTGTAGACTTAAACTAATACATCATATGTCAATTATATCTCAATAAAGCTGGAGGAAAAAAAAGGCCTAGAAATATGTCAAAGGGGAGAATGGAGAACTGGGAGGGAAAGAAAATGCCCACTGTACCATGGATTGTATAAGGCAGATGCATGCAAATGATCGACAGTAGGGAAGCAATATTCCCATGACCTCATCCCAACACTCAGGGAGCTTACTCTCATCACCTAACTCCAGTAAAGAATCACTGACAAGGAAGACGACAAGTTATTTAAAAATCTATCATTTCCTGTTCCATTTCTTGTGTATCAATGTCAATTTCCTGGTTGTGATTGGCAAGATGTTATAATTGAGGATAACCAAGTTAAAGGGACACAACACTTCTCTCTCTTATTTCTTGCAACTGTATATAATGGACAGTTATCTCAGAGAAAGTTTAATTAAAAAAATGTATCAGTCCGGTTAAGTTTGGCTGACAGAGGATGAAAATGAGGAGGCTTTCATTTTCTATTTTATACTTTACTATTTGGATTTGTTATTCTGTATAAACTAGTTAAACTATGCTTAAATATTATCCACATATGCATTGAAAAGGTGTGCATGGAATGAAAACCAATAAAGGGGGCCACGTTTATTCTAAAAATCTCTCTATACCAAATTCATTACCCACATTTCTCATATTTGTCTGAGGAGCATGGGGTATTACGTCTGAAGGCGGCTCCTATACATGCTCCAGTTTACAGATGAGAAAGTACAGTGTATATCAGCTTTCCTTAAGGCTACTTCACTGATGGTGGGGATTTACCAATGGCTCTAGGATTTTTTTTTTAAATTTTTTTTAAGATTTTATTTATTTCACAGAGAGAGACACAGTGAGAGAGGGAACACAAGCAGGGGGAATGGGAGAGGGAGAAGCAGGCTTCCCGCCGAGCACGCAGCCCAACGTGGGACTCGATGCCAGGACCCCGGGATCATGACCTGAACCAAAGGCAGACGCTTAATGACTTAGTCACCCAGGCGCCGCATGGCTCTAGGATTTTAAAAACATTTTTGCCTCTCTTCTTTATTTGATTTTGTAACAAATATTTGTGTTTAATCTTAAAAAAAAAAAACAACAACAACATCTGAACTGCTGCCTTATCAGACCTCCCTTTGGATGCTTTCATATTGTCCTATTAAAATGAACAGTTCCCTAATGAGAGGTAACTGACTCCTGCAATGGTCATAAACAGATGGAAAACCATTGGGTAGAAGGTTGAGAAAAACTTTAAAATGGAAGTACCAGCTGTGTTACCAGCTAACTTACTGATGGATCCTAGCATGACGAAAAGTAAGGTAATCAGTTACTATGTGTCTCCAAGGAGGATAAAATGTGCTCTATGCACCAATACCTATGAATTTTTTTCGCCAAAAAGCAAAACGTGAATCAATAACTGACTCCAAATCTCATCAAGTCTTTAAGTCTAACTTCCAGGTTATAGGAAACGCACAAGTTTATTGACACAAGAAAGCCATTAGCTGCATCCCGGCTGGGACATTCTAGGTGCAACTGACTGAATTTCTTCAACAAGGAATTGTATAAAGAGGCATAAAAGAAAGTATTTATTTCAGATTAAAGGAAAATTAAATAAACAGCAACCAAGTGAATTTTGTTTGGATCCTGATTTGAAAAACCAACCTTACAAAACCATTTAAAGAAGGTAAGTGGGGTATTGCTGTCAGGAAAGT